GGAGAGTGGGAGGCCCTCAGGGACCAGCCGGTCACCATCGCCCGCCAGCCCCAGGCCCGCAGGCCCACCTGAGGCCACAGGAGAGAAAGAGCCTCACAGATTGGGAAGGCCCCGCCGGAGCACAGGCAGCAAAGCCTCCTCTCGGACCGGAGGGTTAACGATCGTGGAGACCCTCATGAACAGTGGAATTCGCACAATGTCAGCGCCCTTGAGTGTGCGAAGTGGGAAAGCAGGAGAAGGTCACCCCCTACTCGATCCCAGGACCATTGTAGAACAGCTTGTGCAAACAAGGCGGGGGAAGCCTCCACTGTAGCTCATTCGAATGTTCCAGAGCTGCGTGGACAAGCTGTTTCCGTGAAGGTGTGGACATGTTGGTCTGCGGGCCCTGGGTCTCTGTCGCAGCTGCTCGCCCTGCTGGTGGAGCACGGAGGGCAAATGAGCGCGGCTGTGAGCCAGGAAAGCGTTCCTTACCCACGGCGCCTGCTTGCCAGCCCCTTCTAGAGAGAAAGCCTCACAGGGCAGAGTCCCGACCCCCAGAGAAGTCCCAGGGGGCGGAGCGGAGTGCAGGCTCTCTGCCTGGTCAAGGGGGTCAGGAGGGGCACGTGGGAGATCCAGGGACCAGGTTCTGCCACGGAGGAGCTGAAGGACTAGCCCCCTCACTCAGCAGCCGCAGGGCTTATAAGGGCAGGATAGGATACTAAAGTGCTTCAGAAGGGAATACGGTAAATACACTTAAAATGAAGATTCTGGCCTGGCTTGTGTTGCTCAGTGGTTAGAGTGTTGGCTGGCACACCGAAGAGTCACAGGTTTGATTCCCAGTCAAGGGCGTGTACCTGGGTTCGATCCCTGGCCCTGGTCCAGGCATGTTAAGGAGGCAACCAATTGATGTGTCTCTCTCACATTGATGTTTCTCTCTCTCTCTCTCTCTCCCACTCTCTCTCTCTCTCTCTCTCTCTCTCTCTCTCTCCCACCCTCTCTCTCTAAAATCTAGGAAAAAATATCCTTGGGTGAGGATTAAGAAAAGAACTTAAAAATAAATAAGTAACTTGGGGGATTCCTGCGTAAAGATTCACTCTGCGCGGGGTCCTGCGGGGTAAATTCCCAGTGTCCGCCGGCAGGTGGTGTTTACAGCCCTGGGCCCGGGCCTCTCAGCAGGGGATTCAGGAGGCTGAGCGTGTGGAAGGCAGGGAGAGCAGGGGTCCAGCAGGGAGGACTGTGCAAGCACCCGTGGGGCAGGAAGCAGCAGGACGGAGGCGCCCGCAGGGTGGGCGGCCCCCCCAGTGCTGCCGCTGGGTGGGGAAGAGCAGGACTGGGAAGGACACTGGTGGTGCGTTAGTGTCCCTGGGCCACCATCACCAACCACCACCAAGTGGCTTCAGACAGCACACATTCCCTCACACTTCCGGGGGCCAGGTGCCCACAGCCAGGGCCTGCTGGGCGCGCTCCGCTGAGGCTCGGGGATAGGCCTTTGCTCCGCCAGCTCTCGGGGCCACGCGTTCTTTGCTTTGTGGCTGTGCGACTCCATTCTCTGCTCCATCTCCATGGACTCTCCATTGTTTGTGTCTCCTCGTGTGTCTTAGGACACTTGCCATTGGACTTAGGGTTCATCTGCTAACCCAGGATGACCCCACTCAAGATTCTTAATCACCGCTGCAAACGCCCTTTTCCCAAACCAGTTCGCACGCGCAGGTCCCCGGGGTAGGACCGGCACGTCTCTTGCAGGGCCGCCGTTCGTCCCGCGGAGGTTTGGCTGGTCCTGGAGAGCTGGGGCAGGGGCAGTGCACAGGCCAGCGGCCTGGAGCCAGAGGGCAGGACGGGCCACACCCGCCGGCAGCGAGCCAGGGCCTATTCTCCCCGTGCGGATGCGGCACCCCCACCCGTCCTCAGCGGAGCGGGAGCACTTGGGTCGCAGCCCGGTCACCCCCGCCTTTCTGGAAAGCCGCTGCCGCGGGCGCCCTGCTCAGGGGCTCTGGACGCCTGGAGGCCGCACACGCTGGGCGGGAGGTGGAAGGGAACAGCTCGCAGTGGCTCGCGCTGCCCTGCCCCCTGGCCACCGCCAGCCCGCCCTGCGGCTTGCAGAAACCGGGTTCCCTCCAGCACTGAGGCAGCGCCCCGAAAACATGCGTGTCCTCCCCGCCGCCAAAGAAACTGGTCCTCCGCAGCGAATCGTTTACAAGCCTCCGGGAAGAGGCAGCCCGGCACCGGGGCAGCGGCCCGGCTGGAGGAGGCGCCCGCAGGGCCGTGGGGAGCCCCCGGCGCGTTGGCCGGGCCTCCCTAGGCAGCGACACGGTGTGTGCGTGGGGCTGGTGGCTGCGGCCTTGACCCAAAGGGAACAACCGAGGTGCCAGGAAGGGGCTTGGCCGAGCAGGCCGCTCCCCGGGGGGGAGACGTGCGGCCGGGCCGTCACCCTGCAGGGGTGGCCTCTGGAGGAGGTTGCGGGGGGACGGGCGGACGCGCTCCAACTCGGGCTGAAACGTGACACATATCTTTTCAAAAAAGGTTTGGCCAGGCGTCCCCTTAAGTGAGCTGGGTCCCCTGTTCTGCCAGCTCACTTGTGTGGGGACTGAAATGGGGGAGACGGGCGGGGAGAAGTAACCAGCGGTCTCTGCATCGGAAAGGGCTTTGGTCCCGCAGCTCCGACCCTCAGGCTCTGAGTGGAGGCGGCGATGCAGGGGGTGGGGGTGGTGAGGGGTTGGGGGTAGGGGGCAGGGGGGGCTGGGTAGGGGATAGGATGATGTGGGGTAGGGGGCGGGGGGGGGGGCGGGGTAGGGGATAGGGTGATGTAGGATGGGGGGGGGCGGGGTAGGGGATAGGGTGATGTAGGGTAGGGGGGGACGGGGTAGGGGATAGGGTGATGTAGGGTAGGGGGGACGGGGTAGGGGATAGGGTGATGCGGGGTAGGGGATGGGGGTGGGGAGGGTGATGTAGGGTGGGGGGGCGTGGTAGGGGATAGGGTGATGTAGGGTAGGGGGGGCGGGGTAGGGGATAGGGTGATGTAGGGTAGGGGGGGCGGGGTAGGGGGATAGGGTGATGTAGGGTAGGGGGGCGGGGGGTAGGGGATAGGGTGTGATGTAGGGTAGGGGGGGCGGGGTAGGGGATAGGGTGATGTAGGGTAGGGGGGCGGGGTAGGGATAGGGTGATGTAGGGTAGGGGGGGCGGGTAGGGGATAGGGTGATGTAGGGTAGGGGGGGCGGGGGTAGGGGTAGGTGATGTTAGGGTCGGGGGGGCTGGGGTAGGGATAGGTGATGTAGGTGGGGGGCGGGGGTAGGGGATAGGGTGATGTAGGGTAGGGGGGGCGGGGTAGGGGATAGGGTGATGTAGGGTAGGGGGGCGGGGTAGGGGATAGGGTGATGTAGGGTAGGGGGGCGGGGGTAGGTGGGGGATAGGGGTGGACTGTAGGGTAGGGGATAGGATGGTGATGTAGGGTAGGGGGACGGGGTAGGGGATAGGGTGATGCGGGGTAGGGGATGGGGGTGTGGGGTAGGGGGCGGGGGGGTGTGGAGTAGGGGGCGAGGGTGGCCGCCCTCCCGGAGTCGCTGAGGGCAGGGGGGGTTCACTGGCCTCTGTCGTCCCCACAGCGATGCCCCCTCCAGGCTCCCCCCCGCCCCCCAGCCGGGGCCTGTCCACGCGAAGGGCTTCCGGGGCGCTGCCTCGGGCCCCTTCAGGCCACAGCGAGGGGGGAACGCGGCGGCGGCAGTGGGTCCCCGCCAGCTCGGCGCCTGCATCCCGCCGCCCCCGCAGCCCTGCGCCCCCAGGGACAGAGCGGACGTTTCTCCTGTTTCACACGCGCTCGCGGGAGAGTGGACGCCGCGCCCGCTGCGGTGAGACCCCAGCGAGGCCACTGTCCATGCGGCGACAGTAACGCTCCCCGCCGCCCGGGCCCGGCGGCCACGTCGGGCTTCCTCCCGCGGCTGCACGGTCGGGGGCCGCGGGCTGTGCGGGGTGGAGGGCAGAGGGCGGGGGGCCGCGGGCTGTGCTGGGTGGAGGGCAGAGGGCGGGGGGGCCGGGGGCTGTGCGGGGTGGAGGGCAGAGGGCGGGGGGCCGCGGGCTGTGCGGGGTGGAGGGCAGAGGGCGGGGGGGGCCGCGGGCCTGTGCGGGGTGGAGGGCAGAGGGCGGGGGGGGCGGGGGGCTGTGCGGGGTGGAGGGCAGAGGGCGGGGGGTCCGGGGCTGTGCTGGGTGGAGGGCAAGAGGGCGGGGGGCCGCGGGCTGTGCGGGGTGGAGGGCAGAGGGCGGGGGGGCCGGGGGCTGTGCGGGGTGGAAGGGCAGAGGGCGGGGGGCCGGGGCTGTGCGGGGTGGAGGCAGAGGGCGGGGGGCCGCGGGCTGTGCGGGGTGGAGGGCAGAGGGCGGGGGGCCGCGGGCTGTGCGGGGTGGAGGGCAGAGGGCGGGGGGCCGCGGGCTGTGCGGGGTGGAGGGCAGAGGGCGGGGGGGCCGGGGGCTGTGCGGGGTGGAGGGCAGAGGGCGGGGGGCCGCGGGCTGTGCGGGGTGGAGGGCAGAGGGCGGGGGGCCGGGGGCTGTGCGGGGTGGAGGGCAGAGGGCGGGGGGGCCGGGGCTGTGCGGGGTGGAGGGCAGAGGGCGGGGGGCGGGGGCTGTGCGGGGTGGAGGGCAGAGGGCGGGGGGCCGGGGGCTGTGCGGGGTGGAGGGCAGAGGGCGGGGGGCCGGGGGCTGTGCGGGGTGGAGGGCAGAGGGCGGGGGGCCGGGGACTGTGCGGGTGGAGGGCAGAGGGCGGGGGGCCGGGGGCCGGGGGCCGGGAGGGCGGGGGTGACGCCGAGGACTCGCTCGCTGGGGGAAAGGCCTCCGCCCAAGGCCCGCGGGCGGCGGTCCGAGCACAGCCATCCCCGGTGCGGCTGCCGCCGTGGCCCCGGTTTGCAGGGCGCAGCTTCAGGGCGACAGGGGTCGGTCGCAGGGAACGTGAGGAACAGAGAGACGGGAAAGGCCGGGGGGGGGGGGGCGGGGGGGGGCAGATCCAGCACATCCTGGCCGGCTGCACCCCGCTTCTGTCTGGCCGGAACCCGAGTGAGGGCGGTGCTCTCCTTTAGGGTCAGAAACCGGGAAGGTGAGCGCGGTTCCCGGGAAACCCGGTGGCGGCGGCCTGTCGCTGCGCCCAATGGCGAAGGCAGGCTGAGTCATAGGAGGCGTTTACTGAGAGGCCAGCCCACCAGGAAGGCAGCGGCTTCCCAGCACCCAGTCCTGCCTCCCGCCCAGCAAGGTGCGGGTCAGGACTACCAAGGGGACGGGGCTGCGGTGAGGCTGGGAACCGCGCGCAGCTACATGCAGCTCTGGATCCCCACACCTCAGCTGCTGTCCGTCACCCGCGATGAGCCGATGTTGATGAGACGCTGTTGATGCGACGATGTTTTGACTCGTGGTGGGTGGGTCTGACCCTGCTTACGGTTCTGCTGGCTGGATTCACAGCTGAGTCACTCCTCAATCACTTCGCACAGGCCTTGAAAAGGAAACTTAAGAAAAACTTAACCCCCTATTCACATAAGTATATGTGTTCTAAGATTTAAAATAATATGATTGCCCTAGCTGGTTTGGCTCAGTGGATAGAGTGTCAGACTGTGGATTGAAGGGTCCTGGGTTCGATTCCAGTCAAGGGCACATGCCAGGGCTGTGGGTTCAATCCCTAGTAGGGTGTATGCAGGAGGCAGCTGATCAATGATTCTCTCTCATCATTGATGTTTCTAACTCTCTCTCCCTCTCCTATCCTCTCTGAAATCAATAAAAATATATATTTAAAAATAATAAAATAAAGTGATAATTTTTTCAGATTAATTTAGGTGCTCTATCAGATTATAAATCCCCCTATCACAATGTTGGCAATAACCACATCTTCCCAACACTTTCCATTCCAGGTGCTGAACTGGCCAATTTGCACTTATTACTTAATTTTATCTTCATAACAACCCAAAGAGGTAGGTATTACCATCTTGTTTTATGGAGGAAATTCCTGTAGGTTACTTGCTCAAAGTCACACAGTTGAAGCTGGTTGTAGCTGATTCAAGAGGACGAATGTAATCACTATGCCAGCAACTTTCAAACTTAAATCTGACCAAGACCCACAGTAAGAGATGTACAGGGTATCTCCAAAAATACAGCTCATAGCTCAATTTTGAAAATGAAACATATTTTAATAAACACTTTTATAATTATTCAAAGTGTGTATATACGTTTTTTGGGACACCCAATTTTTTTATTTTTTAAGCTTATCTTTTGTTGAAAGTATTATAGATGTCTCCCTTTCTTTCCCCATTGATCCCCTCCACCCCCACCCCCAGGGCTTCCCCACACTATTGTCTGTGCCCATGGATTGTGCACATACGCATAGAAGTTCTTTGGTTAATCTCTACCCACCCTCCCCTGCCTTCCCTCTGAGGTTCTATAGTCTGTTCCATGCTTCTATGTCTCTGGACCTGTTTTGTTCATCAGTTTAATGAAGATTCCAGATATGAGTGATGGGGAGCTGCACGCATTCTCACGGCGCAGCCCCAGGTTGCTCTCCGGTGTGAAATTCCTCCGAGGACGGTGGACACGGTGCGCCCGAATTTCAGCAAAGCATTCGACTACTTCCCATAAGCCCAGGGCGGCCGGGAGCGCAGGTGGTCTGCGGGTAAGTAGGTGCATTCCCCGCCCAGCCTGAGGGCGCTCTGTGAGACCAAAGCACGGTGGGTGCGGGTAAGCAGCGTTTCTATCGCGGACTATGGCGCGTTTGGGGCCTCGAAGGCGAGCCCTCTCTTCCTTTGGCAACTGCCTCCCAGCCCTGAGCGGCCGGGCGGGCCATCTCCCCAGGAACTCGGTGGAATGGGATGCCCGAGGGGCCCAGCCCAGGTCCCCTCCAGGGCTCGGGCCTTCATCCTCTCGCGTCCCGCATCTTACCAGTTCCTTGGACAGGGGCGTGCATGACATAATATTTATCAAAGTTTCCGGTGGCAAAAACTAGGACAACCAAAGCGCTGGATGACAGAATCAGTGTCCAAAAATAACCTGGCAGCCTGCACGCGGGCAGAAGCAGGGTGGAGATGGTAGAGCTGCACCCGCCCGAGATCTGAAGCAGCTTCCTATGCAGCGGCGGGCACACGGGTCACAGCAGCACCTGCGAGGGCTGGGGCGTCCGGGCGCTGGCAGGCGCCGCCGCGGGGAACAGCCCGGAGCACAGGGCGCAGAGCCCCGTGGCCTCGCGCAGGCCCAACGCTGCGGAAGAGCGGCTTTGAGCCCTCACTAAGGGCCACACCGACACATTTCAAACCGCCCCAGGAGAGCAATATGTTGAATTTTCCCGCATCGAAAGCCAGGATTTCTGTCCCGCAAAGAGCACCATAGAGGTACTAGCTGGATGGGTATCCGATTAGGAAAAGGTATTATATAAAATGAACACAGAATTAGTGGCTAGCGTTGTCAGGAACACCTGCAAGTCAGAGAGAAAAGCAGCGAGCCAGAAGAGGGCCCCGGGCGCATAGGCATTTCACAGGAGAGCAAACTGGAACTGCTGCCGTAAGAACAGATGCTGAGATCCACCGCGAATCAAAAAATGCAATTAAAACCACACGACTTCTCTTCCTGGTAATAGCAGGACACTCCCTCCAGCAACCCTCCTGCTGAAACCCTGGGAATAGCAGGGTGGCCTGTGACAGACAGCACCCTCTGTGAGGAACTGACAGGTGGGACAGCCTCACTTCAGGTCACAGGGGCCTGGGAGCGGAGAGGGCACTCCCTCCACCTCTGCCCACAGGGAGGTGAGCCCCTGTCCATGGTCCCTGCGGGTGGCTAGGCTCCCTCGCAGCCAGGCCCTGCCCCAAGGCGGAGGAGGTCTACCAGGAGACCCTTCCCCGCAGTAAACCTGGGTGAGGGTGAGCCAGAAGTGGACCCCCTGCCAGCATTGCAGCCTGCCTCTGTGTGCCTGGGGGTCCAGGGGTTCCCAAGCCTTGACTTTGGGTAGCTCAGCCTGGCAAGGCCCGGGCCCCTGGGAGAAGCCAAGACAAATTCTCTGTGGGGGAAATTACCGTCTCCTGGCCCTCAAATTATTCCTATTATTTTGTTTAATCCTCACCTGACATCAGGCTTAGAGAGAGGAAGGGAGAGAGAGGAGAGATGTGATAGAGAAATGGATGGGCTTCCTTCTGTATGAACCCGCCTGAACCTGACACCCAGGTACGTGCCCTGCCTGGAATCAAACCCAAAACCTTTCGGCACACGCTCAACCAACTCAGCCACCCCGGCCAGAATAACTGTTCAAGTGTAATGAGCAGCACATAGTCAGAGGTAACTCGGGTAAGGAAATTGGGCTCCGGCCCGCTGCCTCAGAAGCCCGATTTCAGTGGCTCCCAGACTCCAAATCAGACGCCTGGGGGCAGTGGTGGCAGAGGGTGGCCATCAGCAGCTGTGCGCTGGGTCCTGGAGTAGGTGACAGTGTGGGTACATGTGGGTGCCACCAGAGTGCTGGCGTTCTCCCTGGCAGATATGGTCAGGTTTTGTGATAATATTCTAACTTTTAAAAAAAATGTGCTTGAAGAAGGGCCGCTTTTTCTAATTTGCATAAAGGTGTCCTTTGGCCTAGGGGCAACCCCATCCAAAGGCTTTAGATATTGGAGCTGTCTGACACAGATTGTAAAATAAGTTCACTGTTTTAAAGAAATACAAGTAGGATGAGCCCAGCCGGCATGGCTCAGTGGTTTAGCGCCAACCTATGAACCAGGAGGTCACAGTCGATTCCTGGTCAGAGCACATGCCCAGTGGAGGGCGTGCAGGAGGCACCCGATCAATGATTCTCTCTCATCATTGATGTTTCTATCTCTCTCTCCCTCTCCCGCTCGCTCTCCTCAATCAATAAAAATATATATTGTAAAAAATAAATAGGTTGAATATATCTGCAGGAAACAGGAAACTAGAAAAAGTGGTATGACAGATTTTTAAAAGAACCAAATTGAACTTCTAGAAATGATAAATGAAATGAAAGACTCATGTCAGTGAGATAACCACTTTATACTAATTAAAGAGACAATAGGTGGGAAATATTCAACATTGGCTGCATCCGGGAGCTGGGATCCTCCGGCAATGCTTGTGGATATGTGTGGAGTCCGACCCTCTGGAGAGTCGCCTGTAGTGCATTGTGCAATCGCACCTAACAGCCCTGACCCTGGGTCCTGACCTTTGCACAGGCCCCTGCAGAGAGTAGCGTGAGGGCCTTCATCCCAGCCTTGCATGGGGTGAACGCCCTGGGGTATTGGCAGTGGCTTTATTAAGACACACTAGAGACCCAGTGCATGAATTCATGCACAGGTGGGATCCGGTCGGCCTGCCCTGATGGGGGCTGATTGGTCCAGACCGGCAAAGTGGAAGGGGATGTGGCCAAATGGCCAGCCGGCCCCACCCCTGATTGGGCTTGGGGGGGCCAATTGGAGGTAGGGTTTGCCAAGGGGAGGGGCCACAGGTGGTTGGCTGGCCAATCAGGGGGGGCCAATCAGGGGCTGGGCCAGCCAGGGGCTGGGCCAGCCAGGGGAGGGGCCACAGGAGGTTGACGAGCCAGGGCTGTCCAGGGGGAGAGGCCACCCCCCACAATGGGCTGGTTGGCTAGCCACAGTGCGCACCATAGCAACCAGTTGTTCTGGTCCTTCCAGTGTTCTGGTCGTTTGTCTTTTATATATCTAGATATGGAGCCTGGCATGGCTCAGTGGTTGAGTGTTGATCTATGAACCAGGAGGTCACAGTTTGATTCCTGGTCAGGGCACATGCTGGGGTTGTGTGTGGGGGGGGGGGGAGCAGGGGGTGTTCTCTCTCATTATTAATGTTTCTATCTCTCTCTCTCCCTCTCCCTTCCTCTCTGAAATAAAAATATATATTTTTATATTTTTTATTTATTTGAAAAATATTTACTTTTTTTAAAATTTAATTTTGTTTTATTTCTTAAAGTATTACAAAGAGTCCAAAACCGGTTTGGCTCAGTGGATAGAGCGTTGGCCTGCGGACTGAAAGGTCCTAGGTTCGATTCCGGTCAAGGGCATGTACCTGGGTTGCGGGCACATCCCCAGTAGGAGATGTGCAGGAGGCGGCTGATCGATGTTTCTCTCTCATCAATGTTTCTAACTATCTCTCTCCCTTCCTCTCTGTAAAAAACCAATAAAATATATTTTTTTTAAAAAAGTATTACAAAGAGTATTACACATGTCTCCTTTCCCCCCACCCCTTGACATTCCACTGGCCTCCCTCACCCCCTAGTGTCTTGTGTCCATTGGTTATTCTCATATGCATGCATACAAGTCCTTCGGTTGATCTCCTACCCCCCCCCCCCCCCCGCAACCCTCCCCAGGCTTCCCACTGTAGTTTGACAGTCTGCTCATGTTGCTCTGCCTCTGTATCCATTTTTGTTCATCAGTCTATAATGGTCCTTATTATCCATAAATGAGTGAGATCATGTGGTATTTTTCTTGGCTTCCCAGGGGCCGTCTCAGCCTCACAGGGGCCGTCCCAGACTCACAGGGGCAGTCTCAGCCTCACAGAGGCCGTCTCAACCTCACAGGGGCTGTTGCAACCTCACCGGGGCCATCGCAACCTCACCGGGGCCGTCTCAGCCTCACCGGGGCCATTTAAATACGTGGAACAACAAATCTTTCTCAAGTCAATTAAAAAATATATATGTTTTTATTGATTTTAGAGAGAGAGGAAGGGAGAGGGGTAGAAAGATAGGAAAATCAGTGAGAGAGAAATATTGATTGGCTGCCTCCTGTAGGCCCCCTACTAGAGATCAAGCCCACAACTGGGGCATATGCCCTGACTGGGAATCAAACCAGTGATCTCTTGGGTCATGGGTCAATGCTCAACCACTGAGCCACACCAGCCAGACTCTCAAGTCAATTAAAAAAATTTTTTTAAGATAGACAGTATTTAATTTTATATCTTTAATACTCAGATGTCCATAGCTATTTTCTTAATAAATTTTTTAAAAATATATTTTATTGATTTTTTACAGAGAGGAAAGGAGAGGGCATCGATCAGCTGCCTCCTGCACACCTCCCACTGAGGATGTGCCCACAACCAAGGTACATGCCCTTGACCAGAATTGAACCTGGGACCCTTCAGTCTGCAGGCCGATGCTCTATCCACTTAGCCAAACCAGTTAGGGCAAGAAATATTTTTTAATAACATGATTTATTCTTCT